AAAAAATCTTAAATTTACACCATTTCAATGAAATTTTCATTAAAAAATATTTTACTTAAATTCCGTTTATAGTAGGTCAAAGTTTTCAAAGTAATAAATAATTCCTAAAACAACCAATAAAAATCTAATGGAAGACTACTACACCTTAGAAAAAAATTTATTTCTTCGATCAATAAAAATGTATATACTTTGTCATTTTATACTTAAAAGAGAGCACAATTGAAGGAGTTGCGTTGCTATAGGTTTAGAACAAGGTATTAAAAGAAGTAGACACTAATGAGAAACAAATTAGGCCCACAAAAACAAATTAGAAGGTAGCATATATATAATAGATTTGCTCGATTTCAATTTCGAGTCTATTCTTTCTTATGAAAAAGGTTGATGAAATATTCGAGAAGAAAAACATAATTCCAATAAGATTATAAAGAGATATACATTTTTATATTATTTTTCTTGAAATGACCAAAACAAAGAGATACCTTAAATAAAGTATCAATTAATTAAGTGGCTACTAATTAATTACTAGGTAAAAGCACAAAATATGAAAATGAGGAATCTAACAAATTGCTCAAAAAAAGAAAAAAAATTAGTATAATGATAATGAGAATCTGAAAAAAAAAAAACTAATGAAAAAAACATAAACTAAATCTGACAACATGGTCATGAATTAATCCATAAGAAACACTGAGATATATATTAAAGAAAAAAATAAACAGAATCTTGAAGATAGATAGATGGTGTACTTACAATGCAAGATTAGCAGAAGAAATAGGTAAAGTAGGACACTGATAACCAACTTGAACCTTGCAAAGCAAATTGTTAGAAGTAGCAGCAGGTTCAATTTCTGATGCAATGAGTTGATGAGCCAACTATGGAGAAGAAAGAACTTAAATAGGTCCTAGGCAATAGCGTGGTGCATTTCCTGGAAGCTGCTTTGCAAATGCAAGTGAAATCAACAAGAGAATCTTATTGTATCAAAAAGAAAGACTTGAAGGATGGAAGTGTATTTCTTGGAAGATGCTTAGCAAATGCAGGTGAAAATCAACAAGAGAATCTTATTGTATCAATAGGAAGGACTTGAAGGATGGAAGTGTAAAATACATGAAAACAAGCATTATTTCACACCCAGCCCATATAAATATTCTAAATTAAATTACTGCCACCTAAGTTTTTGTGAAAAAAATTGAAGTATAAGGTTCTTAATTTATTTTATTTTATATTATATTATACTGTAAAAATTATTCAAGAAGGATTAGGATTATTTATGTATTCTTCAAACTTAGCAAACTTACTTAAGAAATTAAGGTTTAAATTAAAACTAATAAATCAATAGATTAAAATAAATAGGCATTTATAGGACTTAAAGATACCTTAAAATAGAAGTGGGACTGATACCACAATAATTAGAATTTTGTGTGAATATATGCCGAAAATCCCCAAGTATGGACACCTTAATAACATGCGTCGGTACGCCCATCAATCTACAGGCGAGGGTCCGTGTCGGCATTTTGGGCTAAGAAGTGATTTTGTTTTTTTATGGGTCTCTCAACTTTTACTTCTTCCGCACTTTGATCTTTACATGTTTTATTTATTCATCTAGGTCCTTGACTTCAACTTTCTCTTTTTCAATTTTTTTTTCTGCAATTCAGTCCTAATATTTCTGATTTCTTCCAAAAGGAAAAATTAACACAATAATATGTATGAAAATTCAACTTATCATATATATATGTATATCAATTCATGCATGTCTAAATAATTTTAAGAAAAAACTTTACTTTATTAATCTATTGTTAATTTAAAATAATAAATTATATTTTCTCAATTTGTAGCTTTTTTCCTTTTTCATCTACTTCTTCTGCGTTGCTAGCTGCTTTTTCTTTGCCTTGGATTCCTTTCTCTCTCTTCCACGTGATTTTATTTCTATTTTATTTTTTGTGCTTCTTGTTACTCTTATGATTAAAATAACTATTTTATGTATTGAATTAAATTTTTTAAAACTTAAGTGAACTATATATAAAATTTTTCATTACCAAAGAAAAAAAAACCTTAAAAGTAGTGGGCAGGTCAGTGAGAAAGGAAAAAAAGAATATTTCCAGGGAGGTGCACAATAAATGCCACACAATTATGAATGAGTATGCACAGTCATCATCAAGAAATGTCCTATCATTAAAAACAGTAAACTCGGTTGGCTTGCATTTGAAATTTTTTTTTTTGGTAAATATTTGAAAATTTGATACATTGAAGTTTTATCCACAATTTTGTTTCCATGCGTTTAAATAATTCTTCACAATTCAACAGTTTATTCTAATTTAGTGACATGAATTTTAAATTATAATCATTCACCTCTTATAAGTTTAATATTTGAGTCTCATAAAATTTTTTAATTAACATATATAAATAATTTCAATCTCTTAGATTAAGAACCTGTTTGTTGTGACTAATTGGAGTTTGAGTTTTTTTTACGCTGCTTATAAGTAATAAGTTTACATTTTGATTGAAGAAAAAAATTTAAAAGTAATTTTTAGAGATAAAAAAAAATGAGTAAAAATAAAGTTTTTGAGAAATTTATATTTAAAATTTTTGATCTTTTACTATTCTAGGAGTTTTTTAAGGATAAAAAGGAGTTTAAACATATAAGTTTTTAAGAAAAAAATTTAAAATGATGAAACATAAATAGTATCAAAAAATTAAAACTCTTAAAAACTACACCAAACAAACCCTAAATTCATATTTAATAAAAAAATATATATTTTTTTAATATGATTAATACCACTAAACTGAAGAATCAGATGCAAATCATTTCAATCAACTCAAAAAAATAATTCAGCACAATTATATTCTAACATAATCAACTACCTTTTGGATTTGCGTGTTAGAAAAAAAATTTTCCTAAAGTCAAGTTTCCTCTCTCTCTCTCTTTTTTTTCTTTTTGCAATTTCCAAAATTCTATTTCTAGAGAGCTGTGGACCAAGACTTTAAAATGATAGGCCAGGCAGGTCAATGGGAAAATTCGGAGGATATTTTTGGGAAGATGCATAGCAAATGTCATGCAAAAGTCTGGTTACGTCGTGATGGTCACATAAACATTGTTAGGGGTGCACAATTTAATTATTATTTTATAAATTTATATTTTATATTTT